TGAGTCATCGACATCAAAATTCTGAGATATACATTTTGTACATGCTATTGCTCTTAGCAATCGCTGAAATTTTCAAAGCGATCGGTCACTCGGTGTAGCTATGACAGACATTGAAAGTTTTTATGAGGTGAGGTCACTTCAAGTGACCTGGTGACCTGACCTTGAATGACCTTGGTCTGAAATTTTCACAACATGTGTAGAATTGATGTATGATAAGGTGTAAAAAAAACGGCGGCGCTCCGCGCCGCCGTTTTTGAGATATTCGCGAAAAACCACAAGGGGGGGTGTTCAAACACCCCCCCAGCCGGGCGCGAGTTAACCCGCGCCCCGTTGGGCTCTGCCGAGCAACGCGCCCGGTTGGGGGGGGGGGGCCATTTTGGCCCCCCCCTAAGATCTCGAGAACCACGCAACATAGCGACAAGCGGTAAACGGCGTTGGATAGCCCCAACGGGGAACTACCTTGTGACCCAATTTTATTGACCTAGGTCAAACCGATGACGTCACAGGTCAGGTCAAAGGTCCAATTTTCACCGTTTACAGGCACTTCAAGAAATGCGTTGTAAAATCGAGTAAAATGCATTTCATTGAAAATCATCGATGGGGAAATGTTCTTTAAACACATATTTTGCTATTTGAGGTCACTGATACCAGGTCAGGTCACAGAGGTCAGGTCACGGGGGGTCACAATATGAAAGTGTCGTGTGATACATGTTTTATGGTCCATTTTACATGACAAATGCGATTATATGGGTCAGGCAGCCTTTGGGGCCAGCTTAGATCACGTTTTGGTCAAGGTCAGGTCAAGGTCAGGTCAAGGTCAGGTCAAATTAGGTCAAATTTCAAAGTTAATATTTTTGCATAAAATGGGTATCGAATCGATGCAGCTTGTCACGGGGAGTTCAATGGTGGTCTTTGTTTTGCCGTACGAGGTCTAGAATTGCTAAAAATTGAGTTCAAAAATTTGACGTCATCATTTTTTAACAGTTTTTTTCGCTATAACTTGGCCAAAAAACGAGATATCGATCTGAAATTTGGTATGTATATAGAAGAGCGCTGGGACTATCACATATATTCCGGTTTTTTCGAAATTCGGAAAAATTTTGGATTTTTTCAAAGTTTTTTTTTTTTTAATCAATTTTTTGATTTTTTTGGGTCAAAAACCAAAAATTTTGAAAATCCGAGACAGCAGTTTTGTAGCGCCGCCTTTTGTCTACTAGACCATATAAAGAACTTTGAAATTGCTTGATAACTGTAGATTTGGTGAGCGTTTCAAGATTGCATGTTTTTTGCTCATTTTTGCTCGAACATGACGTCAGTTTGACCTCAATAACTCCTGACCTAAGGTGACCTAAGACTTGAAATTTGGTGTGAAGGTGTCAAATTGATGCCCGGGAAGGTACTGAAAATTTGGCGGCGCTGCGCGCCGCCGTTTTCTTGCTATTCAGGAAAAACCACAGGGGGGGGGGCCAAAATGGCCCCCCCCCCAACGGGGCGAGGGTTAATAGAAAAATGAACGATCTCTCCGAAAATCAAGCCAGTAATACAGTAGCACCCACAGAGCGTGAGCAATGACGGTGCAAATTAAGGGGGTCGCTAATTAGGCACCTTACCCTACGTCTCCTAATTATTTTCCTGTTATTTCTTTTTAAGAGAATGATTCATCGAAAACTGTTGTTTTGCTAACATAACCATTCGTTGTTGGTCATTGCTTGCAGGTTTTGTAAACAAAATTGTGTGTTTGGAACTTTTCCAGAAAGAATTAAAGTTCATGTATACTAAGGTATACAAATGTCCTTGGCCCGAAAAATTTTGAGACGTGCTTAAGAAGTAGCACTACAATTATTCGGAGGAATTGACCTCTGAAAAAATAAATGTACACCCGAGTGACCAACGGGATCCTGCACGACGGAGAAATGTAAACGTCAGTATACAACGGACTGTGCCTAGGACTAGTCATGTATACTGTAGTATACATGGTTGCTGGGTCAGTTAAAGCCATTTTTTGTGGCTCACAAACAACATTATGCCTTCAAATGGCTCTGTGATTGAGCGTTAACATTCTTCGAATCGTTGGCGACCCTAATGACCGTAGATCCTCACTCAAAGTTTGATAAATCGCCCGATGAATTAGAATCCGACCCCTAAGCACAATGCCATAGGCAAGCACCTCTCTAAAACACACCATACGGCGAATTTTTTTTTTAGAGATGTCGCTTCAGATAATGCTGCAAGGTCTTCCTCTACTGTTTATCGATTCGCAACAGGTGCTACAACTTCTATATCTTCAAAGGAAATGGCAACTAAAGACCTAAGAGCAGTGGGCAAGGGGCAGAAGAAGCTGAAGTTAAGGGCGAGTGGTGTTGATAATTAAACGTGTCAATACTATTAGCCATTTTACGTCCTAAACAAACGAAAAAATACACTTTGGTGTTTGTATGGAAGTTTTCATGGATTGCATTTCAGTCAGATTTTATAGGCTTTGAGTATTTTTGTATATCCCAGTATACATGTCACTGCGCATGCGCGATGACCTTCACGGCTGAAATGTCACCAATCTGGTCATTATTGGCACCAAAGCTCTCAGCCAAAAAAGTTTCGTTGCTCTCCATTCATGGGCGAATTGGCGGGACTCAAGAGGCTACACATGACGTGCTGCCGCAGAGTGTTAGACATTGCTGCACGGAGAGAGAGAGAGAGAGAGAGAGAGAGAGAGAGAGAGAGAGAGAGAGAGAGAGAGAGAGGGAGCGAGAGAGAGAGAGAGAGAGAGAGAGAGAGAGAGGGAGCGAGAGAGAGAGAGAGAGAGAGAGAGAGAGAGAGAGAGAGAGAGAGAGAGAGAGAGAGAGAGAGAGAGAGAGAGAGAGAGAGAGAGAGAGAGAGAGAGAGAGAGAGAGCGCGAGAGAGAGAGAGAGAGAGAGAGAGCGCGAGAGAGAGAGAGAGAGAGAGAGAGAGAGAGAGAGAGAGAGAGAGAGAGAGAGAGAGAGAGAGAGAGAGAGAGAGAGAGAGAGAGAGAGAGAGAGAGAGAGAGAGAGAGAGAGAGAGAGAGCAGATATTTGGCACACTGGCAGCTCCCCGATCGAGGAGCATCCAGAGCATAACTCACGTGTCAGCTCTGCGGCCGTGAAACGACACTGGGCGCGCCCACAATGAGTGTCGGTGGTGCCACTTAATGTCCGCGACTCACGGAATATCACCCACGGGCCACGAGCCACGGCACCTCACTACTGCACGGGCCACGAGCCACGGGACCTCACTACTGCCGCACCATCAGCTGAGACCCCACGGCACCTCACTACTGCCGCACCATCAGCTGAGACCCCACGGCACCTCACTACTGCCGCACCATCAGCTGACACCGGCCAGATCTGCCGCAGTCGGCTCCAACTCAGCACAATGGCCATACTGAGTCAATCCCTGACCATCTGGCACACAGGACTCGGGGGGTCACGACTGGTACGAGTCACGACTGGTGCGAGTCACGACTGGTGCGAGTCACGACTGTCCCGAGTCACGACTGGTGCGCGTCGCATTTTGTGGACTGTGACCACCGCATAAGCCATTGTTTTGGTTGCTAATAGATACGGATGTTGTCACCTCTAGCTTCCAGTGCTATCTCATCAGGTAGAACACAGACCTCTGAAAACGTGGACTGAGCGCAGAAATTTCGGCCATGACTATAGTATCCCTAACTTTCAGATGTTATATCTCATCAGTAACACCCAGATAGGCCCTGTCTTCACTGTTTGATGGCCCCGTGCACTAAAACTTGAAGGAAATGTGTCCGGGAGATATCGGCTGGCACAGGGGATGGTCTGCACGTGGCGCGTGAGGGGTGTTCACAAAGCTGCTCTTATGATACGTCCCCTCCGGAACCGGGCCACTGACTGAGCTCGGTTATATGGCCTTGACTGAGCTCAAATTTGGTATGTGACCAGATAAAATGCATCCGCCTCTATCACATTCTCAAAGAGGGGGTGCTGCTGCACGTGCGCACGTGCTTCGTGCGCACCCTTTCTTTATACCTCCGGAACTATTGGTCCGATTGAGTTAACATTTGATATGTGGCCTGATGACATATATTAGCCACACAGAAGCGGCGGAACACCTTCAATTAAGCGGGAGGGGGGGGGGGGCACTGCCGACTTCTGGTCCCACTCTTTCCATGCAACGCCCATAGAGCTAATGTTAAAATGCCAAAATCAAAGGGGGACACGGTGCCCCGGTGCCCTCCCCGTTCCGCCGCCTATGGCCACATATACATCATTAGACTTACAGAGGTCTATGGGTAGAATTTACGAAAAGATCTCGGAGACTCTCTAGAAATGCTCACTGCATTATCTTTTTTTAACCCGTGAGTTGCAGGGGGGGGGGTAAATGCCCCCACTTTTTCAGCGCCCTATAGCTGAAAAACTGCATTTTTGGTACCTGTAGTGAATTGATTGAACTTTCTTTTGACAATATTAAAAAACGGTCATAAATTTTCGAGATATCCAAGTTTTAGTGACGTCATTACTTCTGAGTTTTCGACCAAAAACGGCATATGTTCGAAAAATCATATAAAATCAAAGAATAAACATAAAATAATATCAAAGAATAAACCTAGATACATTCCCTAAACGCCATTAGACATCCGGTACCACGGTCCATCAAATGACATATTCGATTTTCGAATATCGTTCCAAATGTTCCAAAATGTTGGCAATTTCTCGTGATAACTTCACGACCATGATGCACGCATTTCTCAAATCGATCTTTTTGGAAACAAAACGTACCCGTATGATAAAATTAATCACCATCGTGTTTAACGACCAAAAGTGGCAATAAACAACATGTGTCGTGTCATAGGCTACGAATACGACTTTTGATTTTGGTGCTATATGTAGGTACTGTGTTGTTACCGCTGATAATCTGGCGGCTCTGTTAGGCCTCAGCCAATGAGAGGCGCGGCCGCGTGGCCCGAGGGCCGGCCGCCGCTCGGCCGGTCAGCCGAGCCCGTGATCAGACGGATCGGGGCGCTGCGGAGACGGGCGGGTTTGTTTCTCTTGTGATTGTGTTGCGTCTGCTGAACGCAAGGCTGAACGGTAAGCTGAGATTTGTTATGTTACTTTTGTACTGAGTTTGTGTGCTTCAGTAAATTTTGTTCACGCTCATATTACGGGATTTATGTTAATGGCATTTTAACCTTCCAGGCGGTGGGGGGACATTTTTTTGCCCCCCCCTTTAGTTTTTTTTCGATATATCTCGAGAACTGCTGCGCCGATCGTCACCAAACTTTCAGTACCCTCCCGGGAGTAGCTAGCGCATATGGTGACCAATTTTTTTTTCCAAAGGCTATGATAGGTTGGCCGCTAATGACGTCAGAGTGACGTCATTTTTGCCATTTTCGACCCAAAAAAAGGTTTCGCGGGAAGAGCTGTCAGGCCTACAGCTCTGGAGATACAGAAAAATGTTTCTGATATAGGAGGTGTAGAATTAGGAGGGCTACAAAACTGCAATCTCGGATTTTTATTTCTTGATTTTGACCCCGAAAAATCAATATATATTTTTTGAATATAATGGCCTAAATCCAAAAAGTTTATAAATTTCGAAAAAAAAACACGGAATACCTAAATGTTATAGTTGCTACCCCCTTCTATCTACACTACATACCAAATTTGAGATCGATACCTCTTTTTTTGACCAAGTTATAGCGAAACAAACTTCAAAATTGATGACTTCAAATTTTCAAACTCAATTTTTAGCAATTCTAGACCTTGTAGCGCAAAACGAAGACCACCATTAGACTCCCCGTGACGAGCTGCATCAAATCAATACCCATCTATTTTATGCAAAACTAACAACTTTGAAATTTGACCTTTTTTACCTGACCTTGACCTGAACTTGATGGTCTTATAACCAACACCATTGAGTTGGAAATGAAAAATTGGCCATAAAACATGCATCACACAACAACAGTAAAGTTGGGTTTATGCGGTGACCCTTGGTGAATGACCTGTGATCTGACCTAGTATGACCAGTGGCCTCTAATAGCAACATATGTACCAGACAACTGACGCCCTATCGCTGATTTTCGACAAAATGCGTTTTACTCGGTGTTACAGCGTTTTCCGTAGATGACCCGTGAACGGTGAAACATTTTATCTTTGACCTGACTTGTGACGTCATCGGTGAACCTGAGGTCAATGAAATTTGGTCTCCTTCGACAAATTTGACAGGGCTATCGAACACCGTTTGAATTTTTCGGATCCGTCCAGTAGTTTCGGAGATACGGGGAGGGGCAAAAAAATGCCCCCACCCCACCGCGCGGAAGGTGGCCGGGAGGCCCACCGCCTGCCGGGTTAATACGTTTCAGGACGCGGGGAGAGTTAGGCATGTCTATACGCGGTACTCAACGCATTCTGGCGCGAGCTTCCGTGCTGTCATAATATATTGGAAGCCTGAATCAAGACGATTTTGCACTCCCGACCGCTTCGGCTTGCTTACCGATTGACCTAACCTTGACCCTGACCTATGCTTGACTGACCCCTACATGAATCCGACATTCGTGTAGCACTTCTTCGAAGGATTGTGAATGTGCACAGTTTTGACAGACTTTATGACGAGAGACGCACAGTGCGTGGTTGTTAACTTCACGCTACTGAAAGTCCAATGTCAGGTGTTTGACCTGACCTTGACCCGACATCTGACCTCTAAATTCAACTTTCTAATACTCATCTGAAGCGTCTCGTCGCGTTCTTTCGTTTGCTGCCTCGTTCGTTTCGCTAAGCCTATTGGTTCTCGAGGTATGGGCTAGGGGCATTTAACGTCCCTACATACATACATACATACACATACACATTTATTTTCAACATTACAAATGAGCAAAACACTGTTGCTCATATCCCTCCCCCCCAGGAAACGGCGGGTTGATACATTACACCGCGTAAATAATTTGAGAAAGCATGATTTGCATCTCGAGAAACGGCCTTAAACTGAACATTTGTTTAAAAAAATGTTTTTGCTCCACTCCTTCGGAGACTCATACAAGTCAAGTTTGTTTATTTTGCTTAACGACAAAACCCCACGCCACATAAGGTTACTTCGTGTTCAGTGCAATATAGGCTGCGTTTTTGCCGCAACACAACATCATAGCACAATCGAAACATCACAATGGAAGAGTGCTGAGTAACTAGTTATTTAGAACTACAGGAAATCGCCTTAAACATACATTGGAACACGGTTTTTTGTTCGCGAACAGTCGTCCTGTCGTGGCCGGAGTGGTCGTTAGGTGTGTGAGAGCCCCCATTGTGGCCGCCTGCATTTTATACTGACCGCCTTTCCTTCCCCGGCTCTGTATATCGACCACCGTGGCGCCGGTGTTTGACACTGGCACCTCGGGCGGGACTGGGCCCAGCGCCGGTGTGACACTGGCACCTCGGGCGGTAGTGGGCCCAGCGCCGGCGTACCGGGCGCCCGGGAACAGTGGCCGCCGTGTCACTAGTTCTCCAAACAGCGCCGCCGGACTCGGCTGGGGGGATGGCCGGCCACACCGCTCCCTGGCTCCGGAGAGCGGCCGAGCGGCCGGGGCCTTTACCGGGCGGCCGGTCGTACTATTGGTCTCAAGATAAGGGTCCAGGCGGCCTGTAGGTTTGATGCGGTGAATACCCTCACCCTCGCCACAGCTGGAGTGGGGGTAGGGGAGGGGGTGCGTTCGGCCCGGGTCTGACAGCGGGGTCGCTCGCCGCAGTGTGGTGTCCAGCGGTGCAGTCGGAATCAGGCGGAATTATGCCGGCGGCCGTAACCGGTCGAAGGGCCTGGCTCAGTCGCGTCTCGAGACGATTTACCGAGCAGGGTGTCAGCGATAGATGGGAGGGGGTGTGGTCAGGGCGCTGTTTGATCACCAAATCAGCATGCTGTCAGTTTGCTGGCGTTTCTCATCTTCTCATTGGTCATTGATGAACCACACGTGGTGTGTGCGATTGACCAATGAGAGACTGAGACGCCTGTAACTGGCTTCCATATATTGGAAAACCGACAGCAAGCGGAAAAAAACGACAGTGCATGGGGCGCACTACATAGCTTTAAAGCTCACTCCGCGAAAGCATAACTTCCCATGGTTGAGGTTGACGAGTGTTACCTACCCCAGACTTCTTGCGATTGCTCTCAACAAGGCAACCATAGAAAGCTGAAAATAGCACACCTGACTTGATTCAAGCCGATTCTCTGGTGACACCAACGACCAATTACATTTTCAATTCTCGTCGAGTCACTGACCTTTGACGTCATAAAAGACTTCACTCGGTCCTAAAATATTGCGGCTTGGCAACTCCGTCATTGCTAGGTCAACTTCTGCAGATAAATAAAATTCACATGACTTCATATTCTTCCGAGACCTTGCAACTTTTCTGACTCGTTATTTTCTATAAAGTTCACGTAAATCTATGTCAATGACGTGATTTCACCATCGTAATTCAACAAGGAAGAAGGGGTATATTAAAAGCTATTTTGATGACAAAAAATGATTTAAGACTATCGTTTGCACATGGAGTCGTGCTCGTATCGCTTCACTCCGTGCAAGATAGATGCTCAACTTTTGCGTTTTGAACCATGTGCAACGTCATAAACGACATTACATAGATATTGGAGCTTTTTTGTCATTAACTACCGTTCCAACTGAAATACAGGGTGATTATATTAAACCGCGAATAGGTAGAACAAATCTTTTAAACGTCAAGCCGTTAGGCGAGACGTTTAAAATATTTTTTCCACCTACGAGCGGTTTAATAATTTCATCCCGTACCGCCGATATCTTTCGGGTGCTTAACCCTAGAACGCCTAGGGGGGGGGGGGTTGTATCAACCCCCCCCCCCTGAGGTTTTTTCGAAGTGCACGCTAAACGGCTTGTCGTAGCGGGCTGAAATTTTCAATACCCTCTGGGGCAACCTTTGCGCATCTTTTGCCGAAAAAAAATTGATCGGGTCATGTCAGGTCACGGAGTTATGACGTCATAAGAGGTACAGCCTCCGGCCGGATTTTCACAAACTGAGTGCCAACGCCCGAGGTTTCCTGCCGGTGGTACGGACATCGGTTGATGGATCGTGATGAAACTTCCCATGCATGTTGGGGCAAGTATTGGCTATCATATGGTATAAGAAATTTGACCGGGTCAGGTCAGGTCACGGAGCTATGACGTCACAAGAGGAACAGCGTCCGGTACTATTTTTGAAAAGCGCCCGAACCACTATTTTGCTAATTCTTGTCACCTCAATGGGAATATGCAGCAATATTAGCTTCTATAGAGAGCAAATGGACCTCCCAAATCCAAAAATACAATCAGATTTCAAAAATTTAAATTTTGATTTTTCGAATTTCTGCCGCCGACTGTGACCTTGCCGACTTCCGGCGCTCCCAACGCGCCATTTTTAGAGCTAGGGAAACGAAATACATACCAAACGATAGAGAATTGATCAAGGAACACGATAGTGAAGGTTTCAAGTCGATATCTCCCACCGTTTTGCCGCAATCGCCGCCGAAAGTTGAAAAAATTCTATTTTTCCGAAAATTTGACCTTTGACCGGTCAAAAGTAGGTCAAATGTTGACCTAGGACCAAAAAATATACCACCAATCGCGAGATCTCGTTGAGAGCAATCCGTTGTTTTTTTCCGCTAAGCTCTACGACCTTCCGTTTCGAAACGCCAGGGGGGGGGGTCGTAACAACCCCCCCCCCCCTGGTCGTTCGTGTTATGAGAAATGGCCTGGTCGTGCGAGGGTTAATGGTAAAGAATTCATTTTATATAACAATACGACATATTTCAGATTAGACGAAATGTCTACTAGACGTTTAACAGTTTGTTAATCGTCTAGACGTTTAATAAATCAGTTACACGACATCTGATAATTTTCTCTCTTTACACGTAAAGCAATTGTAAACGCTGTCTACGGTGTGGGATAACCGCATTTAAACATCCACGCGCTATCCCCTAAATTACAGGGTAATCAATAAAGATGACATAAAGTCAGTCCTGCCAGAGGCATAAGACATAATGCATTAGCAGCTCACCGTTGGAATGATAAATCTTAGACATTTTACATCGCACAAAC